AGCAGCAGCAGCAAGAAGCAGCGACGGAGTCCACGGGGTTCTCGAAATAAGCCAATAACAGCAGCAGCAGCAGCAGCAGCAGCAAGAAGAAGCAGCGACGGAGTCCACGGGGTTCTCGAAATAAGCCAATAACAGCAGCAGCAGCAGCAGCAGCAGCAGCAGCAGCAGCAGCAGCAGCAGCGGCGAAACTGCCGCAGCGGGCGGAAGGGAGGGATAAATGGATCAAACGAACCGAATTGAACGAAATAAACGGAATTAATTGAATTAAATTAATTAATTTGAATTAATTTGAACTAATTTGAATTAATTTGAATTAATTTTGGACCTGTTTTGCCGAAAGTCTCGCAGTGGACGCGCTTGAAGAGGTTGTTCTTGGCGTCGAACTCGACGATCACCAAACGGCCCGAGTCGCTGCCCAAGACGATGTAGTCCGTCAGAGCTCCTGCGAGCATTTGGAGGATTAAATTCAATTTAAATGAATTAATTTAATTAAAAATAATTAATTTAATGCATTTAATTCAATTTATTCCAATTTAACCCGCCCAACGCCTCCCAACTGCACCCAGCTGCTGCTGCAGGCTCCAGCCGCTCCGCCCCAGGCGGCGGCGCAGCAGCAGCAGCAGCAGCAGCAGCAGGAGGACTCCCGAAACAGCAGCAGGTGCAGGAAAAACGCAGCAGCAGCAGCAGCAGCAGCAGCAGCAGCAGACCGGTGAGGCGGAAGGTGGCGATGCTGCGGATGATGCCGAAGACATCTGTGCTGCAGATGGAGTGCAGCTTCCCCTCCTCGTCCGGCCGCAGCAGCTCCAACAGCCGCCCCCTATTCACCACAACTTCTTGAACTCTGGGGGCGCTGAAGCTGCCGTGGACGGCGCCCACGGCGGCCGTGGGCTTCTGCAGGCTGAGGTGGTACAGCACGGGCATTTCCGCAGCAGCAGCAGCAGCAGCAGCAGCGCAGCAGCAGCAGCAGCAGCAGCAGCGGCAGCGGGACGGGGGGGAGGGGGAGGGCGAGGCTGGGGCTGTTCTTCGTCACGGCAGGGGCGGGGAGGACGCGCTCGGCATTGTTGGGCGGGCGGGAGCTGCTGCTGCTGCTGCTGCAGCGGAGGAGGAGCAGCAGCTGCTGCTGCGGGGGTCGCAGGCTGCTGCTCGCGGCTTCGAGGCTTAATTCAAACTACTTTTGCGCTTAAAATGCAGCTTTAATTCCATTCGTTGCCGACAAACAGCAAAGTCGCGAAAATTGCGGAACAACGGACGCAGGAGGCCGCCTGCTGCAGCAGCAGCAGCAGCAGCAGCAGCAAACGCAACGCCCGACGAACGCCTCGAAGCCCGCTCGCTCCGCAGTCGATCCAATTCAACAAGAAAACGCATTTGTTTTCCTTTTTATTTATTTCCTTTCATTTTTAATCCAAAAAACAAACTTTTTCCCCCGAGACCCCGCCCGCCGGCAGCTGTATGCAGCCCCGGGGCTCGCAGCAGCAGCGCCAGCAGCAGCAGCAGCAGCAGCAGCAGCAAAGCAGGGGCCCTCCTTGTGGGGTTTTCCAGCTTTTAATGCCTCCATAAATTAATCCATTTCAGACTTTTCCGCATTTTTCAAAGTTATTTACCACCAAGTTGTTCCCGCAGGGCCAACGAGTCTTCTTCGCGACGCGCCACAAACCCTAAACCCTAAACCCTAAACCCTAAACCCTACACCTCCCAACGGCCTACCCCTTGAACCCAACAAAGCCCCCAGGGGCCCCACTGCACTCTTATTAACCCTAGAAAGTGTCCCCAGGCCCCGAGGCAAAGTACCAAAACCCTCGGGCTGCAGATGGGGCCCCAGGGGCCCCCCAAGCACTGTTGGGGCCCCAGGGGCCCCTAGGGGGGCCCCTAGGGTACAGCGGGGGCCCCGGGGGCCCCGAGAGCACAGATGGGACCACAGGGGCCCCTAGGGTACAGAGGGCCCCCAGGGGCCCCCAGAGCGCATATGGGGGGCCCCAGGGGCCCCTAGGGTATAGAGGGGGGCCCCATGGGCCTTTACGACACTTAAGGGGCCCCCTGGGTACAGAGAAGCCTCAGGGGCCCCTAGGGTACAGAGGGGGGCCCCATGGGCCCTTAAGGTACCTAAGGGGCCCCCAAGGTACAGAGGGGCCCCAGGGGCCCCTAGGGTACAGAGGGGGGCCCCTCAAAGTGGGGAATAAACGAAAGTAGTTAGAGAGAGTTTCCGTTTGCTTCTTTTGACAGAATAAAAACAAAAGAATATTCCCAAACTTATTAAAGAAGTGTTCTTTGATCTTTTTGCAATTCATTTATTTGCATGCATTCATTTAATGACGCCACTCCTGTGGGGCCCCCCAGCACGTACACCCCACACTTTGGGGTGTACGTACACCTCAAATGTGCTGCAGCCACAAAACACTCTCAAGTCCCCTAGGGGCCCCAGGGGCCCCCCAGGGGAACCCCAGGGGCCCCCCAGGGGCCCTTCAAACCTCAGCCCTCTTTAGGGGCCCCTCCTGGGGGCCCCTGGTGGTCTTTAGGGGCCCCCTGGGGGCCGTAAATGTCTTTAATGGCCTTTTAGGGGCCCCAGGGGGCCCCTAAAGGTCTTTAGGGGCCCCAGGGGGCCCCTAAAGGCCCTTAGGGGGCTCTTTGGGGGCCCCACAGGGGGCCCCTAAGGAGCTCCCTGGAGGCCCCTGGGGGGCCCCTAAGGGGGCCCTGGGGGCCCCTGGGGGCCCCTGGGGGCCCCCGGGGGGGCCCCTTGCGGAAAGAGCTGCTAATGGGACTTGGGAATTGACCCTCAGGGCGAAAGGAGACAGAAAACGGACTTAGAGGATAAAAAACAAATATTTAAAGGTTGCTGCTTATATACTTCGTTTCATTTGTTTGCTGCTTGCTGCACCTCTTGCTGCTGCTGCTGCTGCTGCTGCTGCTGCTGCAGCAGCTTCCTGTCTCTTCTTAGAGCCCTTATTTTATTCACTAACAAAAAGTTTCCTGCTGCAGCAGCAACTGCTGCTGCTGTTGCTGCAGCTGCTGCAGATCGTGCAGCAGCAGCTGCTGCTGCTGCTGCTGCTGTGTCTACAGCTGGGCAGCGCCACTGCTGCTGCGCAGCAGCAGCAAAAAGCACTCCGCGTACCTTACCAGTGCTCTCTCAAATGGAGAATTAATATTTGAAGACTAATTATTGTTTTAATTGTTTTATTTAATTGTTTTAATTGTTTTATTTAATTGTTTTAATTATTTTATTTTTCTTTTTCCACTACTTGTAATAGCTGTGCTCCCGCCCCACATCTCGCCCAGCAAAAAGAGTCCGCAGCCAGTCGAAGCAGCAGATCAAACGGATGCGCCACGTCAGCTGCATTTGCACGTACACGGCCTGCAGCAGCAGCAGCAGCAGCAGCAGCAGCAGCAGCAGAGCAGTGGCAGCAGCAGCAGCGGTCGCGGCAGCAGCAGCGGTGGTGGCAGAGCGACGAGCAGAAGCCACAGAAGCGGCAGCAGCAAAAATGGCAGAACCAGCAGCAGCGGTAGCAGCCGCAGACGGTGAGAAGCAACAGCAGCAGCAGCAGCAAAAGCAGCAGCAGCAGTAGCAACGAAAGCAGCAGCAGCAGCAACTCAAAGGATCCGGAGCAGCAGCAGCAATAATTTACCTTCCACAGAGGCAAGGAGAAGAAACCCCCAGTGACAATATACCCAGGCAGCTGCGCCACCGCGTTGTGGTTACCTGCAGCAGCAGCAGCAGCAGCAGCAGCAGCAGCAGCAGCAGCAGCAGCAGCAAAAGAAAGGAATTTGATCAAGTCAAACGAAGGGGACTGAAGCAGAGCCCTTCGAAGAAAGCTGCACCTAGGGTTTGCTAGGGTTTGTGAGGGTTTGTGAGGGTTTATGAGGGTTTGTGGGGCCCCGGCCCTCAGCAGCAGCAGCAGCAGCAGCAGCAGCAGCAGCAGCAGCGGGGAGGCAAAAATGCGTCCTGGGCTCCCCCGAGTGCTAAAAACGTCGGGAAAAAGCGAATAAAAGAGAAATAAGAGAAATAAAAACAAAATAAAACAAAATGAAATAAAACTGGAAGAAAAATGGAGTTAAATTGTCGAAAAAAAGAAAAAAACGCACCGACGTAAGCCAAAGAACCCTTCCACTCCTCGCTAAACGCGGGGCCCCCACCCGAGTTGAACTTCCGCGCCAAATAAATCCCCGCCTGCCGCGCGTTCTGAGCCGTGGGCGCGGGGGGCCGGTAGGCCGCGTCAATGCGCTCTGCAGCAGCAGCAGCAGCAGCAGCAGCAGCAGCAGCAGCAGCAGCAGCAGGTGAAGCGGCAGCGAGGGGGCAGCGGCGAGGGGGCAGCAGCGGGGAAGCGGCAGAAAAGGGCTGCAGCAGTATAGCAGCAGTAACGCTCTGGGCAGCAGCAGCAGCAGGAAGAGAAGCAGCAGCAGCAGCAGCAGGAAGAGAAGCAGCAGCAGCAGCAGGAAGACAAGCAGCAGCAGCAGGAGGAAGAGAAGCAGCAGCAGCAGCAGGAAGAAGAGCAGCAGCAGCAAGCTGCAAAGACATAAAAGAAGTCCTCACCCAGCAATTGCTGCAGCTGCTGCTTCGTTAAAGGCCCTTCATCTTTTTCTTTTTTCAAATCAAACTTCAGAGGATTCAATTGGGGATATTGCTGCTGCAGCTGCGGCAGCTGCTGCTGCAGCCAGGAGAGGCTCACGTCGCAGCTGCTGCAGACCCAAACCCCAAACCCCAAACCCTAAACCCTAAACCCTAAACCCTCGCACGCAGCTGGGAGCCTCCCTGGCAGCTCTTGGCCTCGTTTTTCCGCGGAAACCGCGGCAACAACATCCAAAAGAAAGAATAAATGGCACAAAATTAATAAATTTGATTAATAATTAATTAATTTAATTAAATAAATAAATAATTATTCATTAATTGGCCAAGTTCGACTTGCCCAGCAGCAGTCCACAGCGCATCCGTCTCAGCAGCTAAACGCCGCGGCAGCAGCAGCGCGCAGTCGCCAGCAGCAAAAACGCCAGCAGCACCATAAACCCTCAAGTGTTCATCAACAGGAAGGGCCCTGAGGCCCCCCCTGCTGCTGCTGCTGCTGCTGCTGCTGCTGCTGCTGCTGCTGCTGCTGGGGGGGGGCGGCAGCCGCTCCTGCAGCAGCTTGCGCACCAGAGGCACTTGGCCCACGCCGCTGGCCCACAGCACAAAGCCCTGCTGAATTACTTTTTCCTGAATTGCAAAAATAAAAAGATTTAAAAACCGACTCAAACTTAGGGTTTAGGGTTTAGGGTTTAGGGTTTGTGAGCAGAAGGCAGCGGCAGGGAGAGACAAAAGCAGCAGAAAAGACTCAAGAGAGAGAACGCCTGCATCATGGATGCCCCCAAATACACGCAAATGCAGCAGCAGCAGCAGCAGCAGCAGCACTAGAGCTCGCAGCAGCAGCAGCAGCAGACGCAGGACAGCAGCAACAGCAGCAGTACCACTAGAGCTAGCAGCAGCAGCAGCAGCAGCAGCAGATGTGTGCTGCCGGCTGGCCGCAGCTGAAATGGCTCCGAACGCACCTCATTGTTCTGCTGCTGCTGCTGCTGCTGCTGCTGCTGCTTGCTGCCGCCGCTGAGTCTCCTGCAGGTGAGGGTTTTCTCGCCAACAGCAACAACTTGGTGCTGCAGCAGCAGCCGCACTTTGAGGGTTTGCTGCAGCACTTGCTGCGCGTAGCTGCTGATCTCTGGGGCATATGTAGGCAGCAGCCGGGGGCCCCCCTCCACCAGGGTTATTGCAACGTGGGGCATCAGCTGCAGCAGCAGCAGCAGCAGCAGCAGCAGCAGCAGCAGCAGCAGCAGCAGCAGCAGCAGCAGAACAAGCAGCACGCAGCAGCTGCAGCAAGGCAAGGCAGGCGCAGCCGCTGCAAAAGTAGCAGCAGCTAAACCCTAAACCCTACGTCTGCAGCCCTAAACCCTAAACCCTTAATCCCAAAGGCCAATCCCTAAGTCCGAAACCCTAAACCCTAAACCCCACGCCCAAAACCCGAAACCCCAAACCCAAAACCCAAACCCTAAACCCCAAACCCTAACCCCAAACCCTAAACCCTAAAAGGGAGTATAGGGGGGCGCACTTCAGGGAAAATCCGCTTCATGTCTTCTCTTATAAAGTCTGCAAACTCTGCTGCTGTCTCTACACCTGTGGGGCCCCCCCCAACCACCACGAAGTGCAGCAGCCGCTCCCTCTCTTGCTGCGATGTTGCTGAGCCACACAAACCCTAAACCCTAAACCCTAAACCCTAAACCCTAAACCCTAAACCATGGCGCGCCGCGTGGGCCATGCTTTTATTGCGGGCAGCAGCAACTATGAACGGTGGTTAATGAACTCGAATAATAAATAATTAATTTATAATTAATAATACTTGATTAATAATTAATAATTAATAATTATTATTTATTAATTATTAATTATTATTTGTTATTTATAATTAAATAATCAATGGCAAATTATAATTAATTATTATTGCGGATTAATAACACCAACGGCAGAGACTAATCAGACCGCAGCTCGAAAGCAGCAAAGAAAAATGCAAAAGAATAAAAATAACAAACAATAAATAAATAATAATAATAAATAACAAATAATAAATAATAAACAATAAACATAAATAACAAATAACAAATGAGCTGCAGCTTTGCTGCAGCTTGCTGCAACTTGCTGCAGCAACTTGCTGCAGCAACTTGCTGCAGCAACTTGCTGCAGCAACTTGCTGCAGCAACTTGCTGCAGCAAACGGACTCGGGAGCGCAGCAGTTTCGAAGTTGGCCATAACTCGTTTTCGAATTTGAACTGCATGTTCGACTTCTTTGAGAAAAAAACAATTTTCTTCAACTCCGGGAACTCCGAAAGTGTTTGGATCTGTTCCCACTGCCAGCAGCAGCTTGTCGTAGTCCACTTTGAAGCTCGAAGTGCGGCTCGCGCACGCTGCAGCAGCAGCAGCAGCAGCAGCAGCAGCAGCGCAGCAGCAGCAGCAGCAGCAGCGCAGCAGCAGCAGCAGCGGGGGAGGCAGAACGGCAGCAGCAGCGGAAACCGCAGCAGCAGCGTGCACAGCAGCAGCAAAACACTCGGGAAACTATGAACAGTCGAAGCCTAATGGACGCATTCATTCTATTTCATTTTTATTTATTTATTTATTTATTATTCATTTATTTATTTATTAATTATCTATTTATTTTAAATAAATGGAGAAGTGAAAAGACAAAAGTCGGAAAGCTGAAAAGATCAAGAGCCGCAGTCCGAGCTGTCCATACACCTCAGAAGCGGAAACTATGAACAGTCGAAGCCTAATGGACGCATTCATTCTATTTCATTTTTATTTATTTATTTATTTATTATTCATTTATTTATTTATTAATTATCTATTTATTTTAAATAAATGGAGAAGTGAAAAGACAAAAGTCGGAAAGCTGAAAAGATCAAGAGCCGCAGTCCGAGCTGTCCATACACCTCAGAAGCGGCGCGCAGCTTCCTGAATGCGAACTGAAGTTGAATTGTTGCAAAAAGAAGAATAAAACTGAAATAAAGTGAAATATTTTGAAATAATTCGAAATAATTCATTATTTTTGATTTATTTTGCATTTATTTCTCCAGTTTTCCCCACAAACTCTCTTGTTTTCAAAATCAATGTCCGTCGCGTGCGCCTCGTAGAAGTTCAAAAGGCGGCGGCCGTTGCGGTCTCGGGAGAAGCCCCTGATGGGCTGCAGCAGCAGCAGCAGCAGCAGCAGCAGCAGCAGCAAGCAGCAGCAAGGAGCAGCAAATTAAATAAATAATTATTTAAAACACTTTTCCTTTCTTTCAATAAACCCATCACAAGCCAAACGCCTCAAAAGCGGGAATAAGAGCTGCTGCGCACCCGCCCAGTGCGCCAAGCCCGCAGCAGCAGCAGCAGCAGCAGCAACTCCAGCAGCAGCAGCAGCAACGCCAACAGATGCAGCAGCAACTCCGGTAGCACCACCAGCAAGCCCAACAGCAGCAGCAATAACTCCAGCAGCAGCAACAACAATAAACCGAGTAGCAGCAGCAACCCCAGCAGCAGTAGAACCCCCAGAAGCAGCAACAACAACAACAACGACCCCAGCAGCAGCAGCAACAATAACAACCCCAGCAGCAGCAGCAGCAGCAGCAGCAGCAGCAACAGCAGCAGCAGCAGCACCTCAATGCAGCTGAGGGGAGTGAGGGTGCCGGCGCAGACGCTGGGAAGCAGCGGAGTGAAGGTGAAATAATTTCGAGGCGAAATGACCGTCACTTCGAACCTGCGGGCCCCACAGCGCAGGTCAGCAGCAGCAGCAGCAGCAGCAGCAGCAGCGCAGCAGCAGCAGCGCAGCAGCAGCAAAGGGCAAATTCAAGAAACTGGGATGCGTAAAGTCCGTGAAGAACAGGGACAGCATCGAATGGTATTTGGGGAAGCTGGAGAGCGCGGATGAACTAGATAAAGGCAGGGGCTGCTGCTGCTGCTGCTGCAGAACGAGCAGCAGCAGCAGCAGCAGCTGCTGCTGCTGCTGCTGCAGCATCGGTGCAGCAAGGCACCCACTTGTTCGGGTCCAGGTTTCGGACGAAGCTGACGGCGGCCCAGCCGGTGCCCAAGACCACGACGTGCTCCCTGCGCGGAGTGCCTGCTGCTGCTGCTGCTGCTGCTGCTGCTGCTGCTGCTGGGTGCTTGTCTGCGGCGTGGTGGCCGTCGGGCGCGTAAGGAGCAGCAGAAGCAGCAGCTGCAGCAGCAGCTGCTGCGGGCCCGAGCGAGCTGCTGCTGAAGGCCCTCGGGGTCAAGAAGCGGCGGTGGCGCGCAGCAAAGCGGCCCATGAGGGCGTTTGCTGCTGCCAGGCAGCAGCTGGGAGCTGCTGGCAGCATTTTCTCAGCTGAAGAGGAGAAAAAAGAGAATCTTTTGGAGAAGTTGAGCAGCAGTTTCGAAGAAGTCCGCAGAATGATTGAACTGAGATCGCGGCGGTGTTCCGGCGCGTGATCGCGCCGCGCCAGGTGTCTGTACACCTCAGACACGCGCGAACGCCCGCGCGCCAAATGCGCCAATTTGGACCTTTTTCTTCGGAACAAAGGCGGCGCAGCAGCAGCAAAAGACAAAAAGTGTTGAATTCGCGAGAAAAACTCGGAAAAAGGACTTGGTCTCCGCGAAATCCGCCGGCGCGGCGGCTCCACCCCGCACAAGGAAACCCAGCCCGGCCGCCCCTGCGAGCCTCTGCAGCGGCTTTTTCCTCTTCAACGCAAAACGGCAAATCGAAGGCGAAGAGCTGCAAAGAAGTTCCTTTCCGTCTCGGGCTGTGCATGCAGCTGCGGCGCGGCTGCGGCAGCTGCCAGGCCCCGCCCGCGGAAAGCTGCACTTTTTCGCGGAAATTCGCCAAAATTAATTCAAATTCCTTTTTTATTTTCCTTTTTCTTCCTAAGTTCCCGTTTTTAAAACCAGATTCGCTCCTTTCCCGCACGAAGCCTCCGCGGTTTCCGCCGCCGCGCCCGCGTGACCGCCGGCTGAGAGCATTCCACGGGGGCAGCGCAGCCCCAAGACATGAAATTCAGAAAAACTTCGAATTAAAAGTTTTTAATTTTATTTTTTTAATTTTAAAACTTAAATGCTGCTCCAAACGCCGGCTGGCTGCGCGAGAGAGCAGCGCGGGGTGGTGGTAGCAGCAGCAATGGTAGCAGCAGCAGCAGCAGCAGCAGCAATATCAGAAGCAGCAGCAGCAGCAGTGGCACAGTAGTAATAGTAGCAGCAGCAATTAAAGAAGCAGCAGCAGCAGTAACAACGCCAGCTACCGCAGCAGCAGTAACAGCAGCAGCAACGTCAAGCGCAGCAATAACGCTACTAGCAGCACCAGCAGCAGCAGCAGCAATAACAATAAAGGTAGGAGCAGCAGCAGCAGCTGCTGCTGCTTACTGCGAAGAACAGTGCAACTACAGTGCACCAAGATTAACAGCAACACCAATAGTTGTAAGGCCAGCAGCAGCAGCAACAATAGCCGTAGCAGCAGCAGCAGCAGCAGCAGCAGCAGCAGCAGCTATAATAGCAACAACAGCAAAAGAAGTAGCAGCAGCAGCAGCAGCAACAGTAACAGCAGCAGCAGCAAAAGCGGTTGGAGAGAGAGCCAGATTGAAGCTGAGTGAAGGCACACTCTGCTGCTGCTGCTGTCGTTTTGCCCCAGCAGCTGTTTTTGCTGCTGCAGCTGTTGCCGTTGCTGCTGACATTGCAACTGTTACTGCTGCTGCTGCAGCTGTTACTGCTGCTGCTGTTGCTGCTGCTTCTGATATTGCAGCTGCTACTGCTGCTGCTGCAGCTCTTGCTGTTGCTGCTGATATTGCCGCTGCTGCTGCTGCAGCTGCTAGGTTCCACCTTGTACAGAGAAGGCCTGGCTCCCTAAATATATATTAGCTGCTGCTGGCGTTGCTGCTGCTGCTCGCTGCTGCTGCTGCTGCTCGCTGCTGCTGCTGCTGCTGTTGAAGTGTGCCCGCAGCTGCTGCCAGCGGCGGCCGAGCCGAAGGGCATTCCAAGTCAGCTGCAGTCGAATTATTTATTTAAATTAAATTTATTTATTTGAATTAATTTATTTAAATTTATTTATTTGGAGTTTAATTATTTGATTAATTAATTAATTTATCTGTATAAAACTTATTTATTGAGTTGGGGTTAAGAACCCAGCCGAATAAAGCTGTTCTCGGCCACGCTAAAAAGCAAACCACCCTCAGCAATGAACTGCTGCTGCTGCTGCAGCAGCAGCAGCAGCAGCAGCAGCAGCAGCAGCGCTGCTCCTGTGAGGTATGCACACAGCAGCAAACGCGCTGCTGCTGCTCCTGACATGCAGCAGCAGCAGCAGCAGCAGCAGCGCTGCAGTTCCCGAGGTGTACGTACACCGCGTTGCCAAGGGCCAACTCAGCAAAGGCACTGCCACAGACAGCTGAAGCCTCTGCAGCTTTTTCAGTTATAAATATTTAAAGAGAAGGCCACTTAATTGCTGCTGCCCTCTTTAATTGCTCTAAAGTTCTCGCAGCAGCAGCAGCGGCAGCTGCTGCTGCTGCTGCTGCTGCTGCTGCTCTGGGGCCCCCGAAGGCCCCCAACAGCCATATGGGGGCCCCCCAGGGGCCCCGAGAGTTTTAGGGGGCCCCTCTGGGGCCCCCGGGAGTTCTAGGGGGGCCCCCCTGGGGCCCCCGGGAGTTCTAGTGGGGCCCCGCTGGGGCCCCCGAGGACCCTGAGAGGCCCAGGGGGGCCCCCCATTGTGTGCTGCAGTGGTGGAGGTCCAGTCGGATTTCTATGAAGTCAATTAGCAGCTGAAATGCCTCTTTTAGGACTTCTTTCGGGACCATACTCATAACTTGAGAATTCAAGTCTGGCCAGGCGCTGCAGAGGGTTTCGTGCCACTCCAGGCCCTCTCCAGGGGCCCCGGGGGCCCCCTGGGGCCCCTGGGGGCCCCCAGAGCCAGGGGGCCCCCCAGGGGCCCCCTTCTTGTGGGGGCCCCCCAGGGGGCCCCCCCCTTCTTTCTTTTCCGCGGAAATGCTCCGCAGCTCCTGCGCGGGCCCCTTAAGAGTTGTCTTCTGCTGTTTGCTGCTGCTCTTTAGAGCCTCAGCAAGTGGGGGCCCCCCTGGGGGCCCCCCGGGGGCCCCCCCTGTCTTCTTGCGGGGGCCTTGGCTGGGTGCTGCAGGGGCCCCCGGGGGCCCCCCAGCTGCAGCGGGGGCAGAGGGCGGCAGAGCTGTCTGTTCCTTCTTTTGCCTGGCCTGCATTTGCTGCTGCTGCTGCTGCTGCTGCTGCTGCTGCTGTTGCTGCTGCTGCTGCTGCTGCAGTTGCTGCTGCGCGCGAATGTGGGCAAGCTGCATTTGGTGCTGCTGGTGCCTGCTGGCTACAGCAGCACGAACTTGGAGAGTTTTGCCTAATTCATGTGAGGCGTTTCGAATGCCTGCTTCGCAGGCATTGATCTCCTGGCTTAGCTGCTGCAGCGCTGCTGCTGCTGCTGCTGCTGCTGCTGCCGCTGCTGCTGCTGCGTTCTCTCGGCCTTGCCGCGGCCCCTGCCGCGGCCCGAACATCTCTTCTGCGTTTGCAATGCTCAGCAGTGCCTCGTGGCCGGCCTTGCCTGCTGCTGCTGCTGCTGCTGCTGCTGCTGCAGCCAGTCCGCCGCCGCCTGCAGCAGCAGCAGCAGCTGCTGCTGCGTCTCGCTGGCGCAGCAGCACCGCCTGCTTCGCCGCTTGCTGCTGCCGAAGCTCCCGCAGCTGCTGCAGATGCTGCTCCAAGTGCTGCAGATTAACTTCCAGCACTTCTAGCTGCGAAGCTCCTTCTGCAACTTTGCGCAGCAGCAAAGGCAGGGACTCTTCTGCTGCAGTGAGGGGCCTCGCGGACAGCCCCGGGAGGGGCGGGGGGCCCCCCTGGGGCCCCTGGGGGCCCCAGGGCACAGCAGCAGGGGCCCCGCATGAAGGGGAGGGGCCCCCCAGGGGCGCGGGGGCCCCTGCCACGGGCTCTAGGGGGCCCTCGTCGAAGGTTTCGCTTTTGCTGCTGTTGCTGCTGCTGCTGCTGCTGCTGCAGTCAGTCTCCTGGGTCGCCTCGCTGCTGCTGGTTGCTTCCTCCTCCACAGCAGCAGCCGCTGCTGCTGCTGCGCCCTTGGGGCGTTCGCCGGGCCTGCCCCTGTGCGCCTCGCCCTGCTCCCCCCCCTGCTGCTGCTGCTGCTGCTGCTGCTGCTGCTGCTGCTGCTGCTGCTAGGGTTTAGGGTTTGGCTGACCTTGCGGAGAAGGTCTGCGAGCCGGGCCTGCTCGCAAGCCTCCATCCACCTGCTTCTTTCCAAAGTTATTCTTTGAGGAAAAGAAACAATTCTTTCAAAAAGTCTTTGAACTCTCCTCATAAGAGCTGTTTCTGCTGCTACTGCTGCTGTTTCCTTTTCCAGGCTCAGCCAGCAGCCCTGCGGCCCCAGCGCGCTCTCCGGCAGCGGCTTCAACACGTCCTGCGCAGCAGCAGCAGCAGCAGCAGCAGCAGCAGCAGCAGCAGCAGGTCAGGCGCCGCAGCTAACCCAGCCGCAGGGCTC